CGTTGAAATTTAGAAAAAGTAAGATTTATTAAAGTATATATCAAGAGAGAAATGGGCTACATCACAGATGGCCATAGCCCTACATAATTCAGAAAGTGTGCCTTACATTGGCCAGTGATGGGTGATTACAGGGGTAGTGTTAGATGATTGGCTTGTGAAATCAATTGATTGACATTTAGCTGTGATATAACCTTTGTCTATTGTGCATGCAGTTACCCAGAATTTAGTCTGTTATATTCAGATTCATGAAATTCCAGACATATATATGACATTGTAATGATGGTATTAATGAGGCTAAAGTTAAGGAAGGTCAGTACATGTACTAACTGTGCAAGTGTTTATGACTGGACTAAATCAGCAGTTATTAATATGGTTTTTATTTCCTTGTACTCCAGGATGTAATGGCAATTTTTAATAGAAAAATGAGTGTTTTGGGGAGGACTCTGGGTTGGGCCTTATTCCTCCGTTGCTCATGTCTATCTGCCTAACAAGTATACAATTTAATAACATGTCACATATATATTGCATTGTCTGTCCTTCACCCAAAGTTAAATTTTCTTTTGTCACCATATACTTGACCCTCTTTACCCTTATCTACTTCTCCCCTCCACCCTTCCCTCTGGTAACAAATAAATTGTTGTCCGTGTCTATGAGGTTTTGTTTATTTGTCTCGTTTGTTTGTTGCTTTCAGTTTTACATCCCACATATGAATGAAATCCTATGGTTCTCAACTTTTTCTGTATGACTTATTTGGCTTAGCATAATAATCTTAAGATCCATCTATGTTGCTGCAAATGGCAGTATTTCATCTTTTCTTATGGCTGAGTAATATTCCATTGTATATATATGTACCACCGTGAATAATGCTGCAATGAACATCAGGGTATACATATATCTTTACAGATAAATGTTTTCAAATTTAACAAAATAGCCAATGATATGCTTTTCTAAATTTAGAAGAGTAGACTTGCAAGCACATCTGCTTCAAAAATTGACTCCTTGATAACTTCCAGTATTATTAACAACAAGTAGAGCAGTGAAGTTCTAAGGGATTATTTTTTGCCTATATGTTTCCAGTTAACAATGTCATTCATTTTCTCTTTTCCAAAGAAAATGATTAGGAAATGCACACCAATTGGAACCTTAAACTGAGGATTCTTAAGAATTTTCCAGAAGTGGGTGCTCCTTGGAAGGCAACAGCTAACCCAGAATTTTCTGATTAGCAGATGATGACACAAAGTGCACAGCCTCTAGCCAAGAAAATGAAAAAATTTTAGTTCTTTGCTATTGCTGTTCTTTCTTTTTCCTTTGTTTTACTATGAATTTTGCTTATTATCATGATTTGATGACTTTTAGTGGTTACCTAAGAGCTTTTCAATCCATTTGAAACTATTTTTACAATAATCACAACCTAATCTCATATAGTGTTTCTCTGCTATCTAATGTAAATCAAAGTTTTGTGTGTGTGTGTGTGTGTGTGTGTGTGTGTGTGTCTGTGTGTGTGAGTTTCAGATCACAGATGCTCCTCTGATCTATCCAACTGCTGGGTTTTATCATCTCCCATGCAATAAATTTAATTAACTGTTCCTTTAAACATTTCAGAAAACAGATTTTTTTTTTCTCCAAGCCTCTTTGGGTATTTGTGTTTTTCTCACATTATTAACTTCAGATTTTAGTATTTTAAAGATTGGAACCTGACCCAGAGTCAACACAATAATTCAGCTGAATTTTTACATCCTATCAATGATTCAAATTTAGTAGGATAAGCACAGATATTGGGACAATTTTTATTACAGTAATGAGTATCTTCGTATTCTCTTCAGACTGCTTTACAGGTAATATTTCATTCTCTGGATAATTTTCTCTTATTGAAAAATCAAAATTCAGCTCATTCTTATTGTGATACCTGATACTTAACAATCACAACAGTTGTGTTCCCCTGGAAGGGCTTTTGCCTACCTGAAACACACAAGTCTACCTGGTATATCAGGGGTAATTCCTAGAGACTTCTAGGTTTTTAAAACCTATAACCTTTCAGTCGACCATATTTTTCCGAAAAGGATACCCAGAGATTTCCAAATGAATAAGTATGGATTACTCAGGAGGCTCCCAGGAGAAGTAACCACTTCTTCTTGTGCACTGTCTCAAGTTGCCATTCCAATCATAGGAAAAATGCAACTAATTGTTTTCCTTTTATCCTAGGAGATGTTTTTGTCCTGTCTAAGACTTTCTGTTGCACCTATGTGAACACCACCTTCTAAGAAAAAATACTGTTATAAGCTAAACAAATAGTCTGGGTGTTCTATAATATAGTTAAATAGATATTGGTCATGTTTTTTGTGGACTGAATTGAGTCATTTAGGTTCTTAGCTCTATAGCTTATTACATGTACTAAGAATCATTAACTTCTGGTAATTGTGTTGCATTTGTCCAATGCACCTAGTCTGGAGTCTTAAAATCTACTGCATAGCCATTGTCACATCAGATAAACAAAAGTTTTATCCCTTAACAAAATAAATATACAAGACTAACTATAGGCTATGTTTTCAGGACAACTTTCTGATCAATAAAATTCCGATAAAGTCTGGATCTAGACAAATTAATATGGTTCAAGCTGATCTCATCTGCTTTTAGTCAAAAGAGGACACTAAGATCAAACAAATAAACAAACACCTGCCTGCAGTTCATATTATTCTCAGTTGACATAAATGAAGCCTAAAGTTTATAAACAATACATGGACAGACCACTCTGTAACAAAGTCTAGAAGAAACAGAGAGAAGTTCAATCTAGATTTAAGACTTTTAACAAACACGAGTTAACTACTTTTTCTTTACCATTTGTCCTCGTAGTCCTAGATTTGAAAAAATGTTAATACAATCGCCAAAGTACATACATTTCTTGACTACATCTAATCTAGAATTGCCACCATAATTCCAAGATCCATCCTTAAAAGTATGAAGCACAAAACCTCATTTGATAAAAATCCCCTTCTAACTCTCTATTATGAGTTTCACAACAGTTCTTCCTGGGTGCTTTCTCACTTTCTGCAACAGGATCAATTAATCTAACTATTTGACTTAAATAAGTTCCTGGTGGTCTTTGGTTGGTAAGTTTTAATAACTTCCAAGAGAAGAGGTAGTCATCATAGTTTTTTAAATATCCTTTCCCCAATATATAGGAAGCATCTTGTTACAATCAATTTTTGATAGTATTGTTCCATAGACATGGCTTAGTTATCTAACACAGGAACAATGAGAAAACCAAAAATATACTCTCAAATTATGAATAGGTTGCACTTTTTTGCCTCAGCTCATGGAAAGAGGGCCTGGAATCAAGAAGGATCATACAATAATGATTACCATGAGAAAAAAAATAGAAGTATCTTAACATGGACATATTTTCATCTTTGCTCCAATAATATGTTTTACTTCTTGTCACTGCAAGAAGTATTACAATATTCTATTGTAATTACTTTCCTCTCTCCTTAGAGTGTGAGTTTCCTGATTGGGCATGTGTCTTATTCACTAGTGAAATTCGATGCCCAAATATATGAGGTACATAGTTGATCCTCAAACATACTTTTGAATGAATGCCCAACTACAAGGATAAATAAATAAAAAGTGTTTCTAAAGTTGTTACCAAACGCTTTTACTTTTAGACAGTAGGTTAGGGATTTCCAAGGACTGTGTAGAGGTAGGAATGAGGGTTAATGGTTACAGAGTTGCTGTGTGTTGTGATGAAAGTTTTGTAAATAGTCATGATAGTGGCTCAATATAATGGTTTGAAATGCCAAGTTATGTAATATATATTTTATAATAACACACTAAAAAATTCTGGTCTCTGTTTATATGACCCTTATTCTTCAAACACCACATTACAAACTAGATCACTTCTGTGTAGCCTGAATCTCAGACTTAGAGAAAGAAAGAAATAAGGATCCTAAAGTTGAAAAGTGGAATGAATGCCTTAGGAGACTGAAAATTCCTGGTGACAACAACATATAATGAAGTATTGACTCTAGAGAAGATTAATACATTGTGTAGGAGGGTAGGCTGGTTACTTGCTTTTATTTCTTTCAAAGTACCCCCAAACAAACAAACAAACAAACAAAAACAAGCTTTTGTAAAAGGTAGCTCATGCTAAAGCATGAAGGCCAGTTGTTCTGAATATCCTAGGAAATCTTGGATAACATTAGCAGGAAACTCTGTGTCCTGGAAATTCTTATATATTTGAAGGGCTGCTCATGAAATGAGGTAAACAAAAGGTCGGACTAAGTCCATGGTGGGCAAAAAATAATTTGCATGTAAAGCACATCACTCTTAGAACATCAGGAAAATGCAAAAGTCCTCAATCATGAGGTAAATATGTTAGCTACAAATTTTCATCTTTTGAAGTCATTCCTTGAGAAAGTTGTGCTATGGCTTTTCCATTTATATCTGTGCTTCTAAACTTCTCACAATAAGCCACAGCTGTCATCTTCATCTCTTTGAAATCTAATGCCAGATCCAGAAGTTCATGGGCTCTCACAGCCTTCTCTGGTCTAGGGTTGATGCTCTTACTGCAAATACACGTGGTATAAAAAAGTGCTAGCAATCAACTAATAATTGTGTGTGTGTTCTCAATTTCTTGAAGCTATAAGTAAGTAGTTCTTTTATGAACACTTTTCTTTTACTTCTAGTACATGGGATCTCTGTACATTGAGAGAATAAATCTTCTTGGCTCTTATTTTCAAATGTGCTACATTGCCTCTTGACTGTTTCCTAAGAAGATTCAAGACCTACATGCCTATTAACAAGGCTTATAAATAGTTTACAGGGAAATAGTATTCTGTTGATTGAGAAGGTATAGATAAGTTGTTCTAAATACTTTAAAAACTGTCAGATAACGCATGATACTGGCAGAAGCAGCAATCTCTAGTCCAAAGAACAGAAGCGTTGGAGAAGATGGGAGATTAATTATAACCTTTTGCCTTGGTCTTTGGGGTATGGAAAGAATATAGCTACCTACTCTGCATAAAAAAGCTTAATATTCTCAACCGGATCTGTTTGGTGTTAATGCCGTAGACCAGGGGATTGAGAACAGGGGGCACGAGAAGATAGAGATTTGCAAGTACAATGTGGACATGAGGAGGTACTTGGTGGCCGAAGCGGTGAGTGAAAAAGGAAAAAAAGGCAGGAATATAGAAGACAAGAATCACACAGATGTGGGCTCCACAAGTGCTAAATGCTCGAAATTGGGCATCCTTTGAGGGCAGACGCAGCACAGCTTGCAGGATCAAGGTGTACGAGGTGGCGATGAGGACCACGTCCATTCCAGTGACTGAAAGTGCCACAGTGAGACCATAAATGGTATTGGGCTTGATGCTGGCACAGGCCAGCTTGGCAATGCCCATGTGTTCACAATAGGTATGGGGAATGATATGATGTCCACAGAAGGGTAAGCGTTCAATGAGGATGACAAAGGGGAAAACAAAGAGAAAGCCACGGACCACACATGCCAGACCAATCTTCCCAATCACTGCAGCATTAAGGATGGATGTATAATGAAGTGGACGGCAGATAGCCACATAGCGGTCAAAAGCCATGGCCAGCAGAACAGCCGACTCTGTGGCAAAGACTGTGTGAACAAAAAACATCTGGGTGAGGCAACCATGGTAGGAAATTACGTGGGACCTAAACCAGAAGATTGTTAGCATCTTGGGCAATGTGGTTGAACAGAGTACCAGGTCAGTAATGGAAAGTAGACACAGGAAGAGGTACATTGGCTCATGCAGAGTTCTGTCCGTCATGATGATGTAGAGGATGGTGCCATTGCCAACCAAGGCAAGGATATACATGGAGCAGAAAGGGATGGCAACCCAAACATGCTGGTCTTGCATCCCAGGGATTCCAAGTAGAATAAAGGTGGAAGGGTGGAAGGCAGTGTCATTGGGAACAGATGAAGAGAGCATAATGATACATAGGACAGAAGGCTTTCTCTTCCTAAAAGTGTATAGAACACACCTGTCAGAATGACTATCAAAAAAAAAGTGTATAGAAAATTAGAGAAAGTCATCCTTGGTGCCATTTATTCTTCCTATGTACCCATTCAATTTCTTGCCTTTCAGTCCCACCAATTCTATTATAATTATGCCTTCCTCATTTTTTCCTGGGTTACCGAAATGGCTTTGTAACTAATATGTCCACTTCCAGGATTTCCATCTTCCAGTAAAGCCTCTATATCACTGCCTAAATATTCTAACATGTGAATATAGTCAGCTAAAATACAAATATAACTTTTCTTATTGTATGCTATGCAGGATATCTTGCATTAACCTCATCTGGTCTACTCTTCATAACTTTCCATCATGTCTGGGCCCTAGAACACTGGACTACATCAACAGACTCCCCTATCCTTACTTCTAGTTGTATTTGTCAATAGGAAACACCAACAAGAAATTGCAGAATGGTCAGAGATTTATTCTTTCAGCTCTCTCTCAGCAAGATACTGCAAATGGCCGCATCTGTCTGTAAACAACCTTCTCTGGCTCTGGTTTCCACTGGTAATCACACCCTTCTCATTTCCCTTCATTTTAAGGGTTCTAACAGTGTCTGCTGTCACTAACCCAGGGATTTCACAAGCAGTTGTGATTACCCTACACTGACCCACACTTTGTATAATGGTCTTTTAGTATTACACTGTACTCAAATATACCTAATTTGAGTGTGCAATCTATTTCCTGCTAGGGACTTGGTACAATGGCTTGCAAAGTTCTTCTTGATCTTGTTCTTGATCTTGCCCACTTTTGTAGCATTATTTATCACTACATTCCATCACATGCTTCACGTTCCAGCCATATCTAAGTATATCTAATTTTGGACATTTTGAAACATCCCAAAGCATGTTTTATCACACCTATGTGACTTTACCTTTTTATCACACCTATATGATGTTTTTTATGTACAGAATGACTTCTCGTTTGGTAATCTGCCAAGCTGAGTACATTCTTCTCTAGAAGCCCTTCTATGATCCTCTCTGCTGTGGAGTGAGAGCCAAACATCTTTATCATACTCTTCTTAGGAAATACAAACCTGTCTTATTATTATGTGTATTCCACTTGTTCATTACACTATGAAATTTCTGCATCTCATTTTTTTCTTTATATTCAGCATCAAAACCTTATATGCCTTAGAGCAATAAATAAACTTAATGAGTAGATGAATAAAGGACTGACTGCTCTAATTTAATTTTTTTAAAACAGATTTGGGTAACTGGCTGTGGTTGAAAATGTTGTTTCTTCTTGGGAGCCTTCCTTATGGATCAGACAAGATCTTTTCTCCCTAGATCTACGATGCCCATTATGTTCTTTTCACTCTATATACTCCAAGAAATGCAATTTATAAGCTCTATAATGCATTTCCTAACCTAATATAATCCAATATAATCTATCTATATAACACATTTCTGTCTGCTTTCCTTGATTGGCCACATGTATTAGTTTGATTATATAACATATCTGTCTTAGGCTGTTTTGTCTACTTTAAGTATGAACTCTGATATGACCATTTCAGCCAGGAGCTACACAGGAAAACTTCAAAATGAAGCATGTCATAAGAAGAAAAGAAGAAAGGTAGAGACCAGGGGCTTAGTGATGAGTTCAATCAGGGTAGGTTGTCACTAGTCATGGATTTAAGGTAATGCTAATAGGAAAGGAGAAAAGAGAGAAAGAGCCATTTTTCCTTGGAGCCATATTACCTTGAGAGATTCCTGTAGGCGAAGTCAGAGTCATTATTCTTACCTTACTGAGGTTCAGTCTTTGGGACTCAAACACCCTTATGTTTAGAAGGAACAGCAACATTCAATTCATTCAATGATTCTCTCTTAAAACAAATTTTAGAATCTACAATAGGATCAAAAAAGTTCTATAAGAATTTAAAAGAATATCTTTCTTTTAATCCCTTATTCATTTGCAACTGAATTATTAAAAATCAACTAATTTTCTTATTTTATTAATTGCAATACTGTATGCAGTTCTCATATACTACCGCGTTTGTTACTTTATGCTAACAGTTACTAAAGCTATAAATTATATAAGTCATAATGTTATTACAAGTTTTAATACTAATATAATTATTGCTTTGTTTGAATTTTAAAGCCAAAGGAGAGAATTTACTGTCAATTCTACCGTAATTTTGTATATCTTTAAAAATTCAAAAATCAAGTTAGAAGAAAGAGAGTTATTATAAACATATCAATCCACATCTTGGAAAAGTGTAAATATTTTTTACTTCTATCCTGGGAAGACTAGAGATTTTTAAATAATAGATAAATCAGTGGAATATAATCTTTTCATCTAGTTGGAAAATAAATCACAAAGTTCAATACTTATATAATGCTTGACTCCCAAGTGTGATATCTTGAAAAGTGGTTGAATGGCTATTGTTTATACAATCTAGTGACAGAGAATATATGCATTTTTGAGGCTCCATTTTAAATTTTAGACCTTCTGATTCTGAGAATGTTTTCTTTTCATTAAGTCAATTTCTGTCAACACAATCCACATAAAACAGGCATAATTTTTCTCAACGTGTTAGGCTTTTATTTTATGAACACTAATATCCCTTTTAAGTTACTCTTTTATTTACTTTGTCAAAATTTTTATCAAGAGTCTACTATGTACCAGGCATTCTTCTAGATATTTAATATATACTGGAGAGTAAGAACATGCATGTTCCTTTATATATTAAACTTATCTAATGAGAAGACATAGTTAATCAAATAAACCTCAATATGTGTGTTAAAATGTTACACTGATATATGCTATGAAGAAAAATTACATAAGTCAGTACCTACTCAGAGATGGATTGATTCCATAAAAGAAGCCATAAGCATGAGTCTACAAGAGTTGAGTAGCTGTTGAGGATGGGACATTGTGGACATCACTCATTTGTATGGTCACCAGGAGTCACAGTGGACTCAGCAGCACATAACACATACTCAGAGAAAGTCTCCCTGAGGAAATAAAATTTAGTCTCCAAATATGAGTCTTCCTCAAATGCCTCAAACATCTCTTGTATAGCTCAGCTCCAAGAATCATCACTCTCCTTTATATGGTCCAGTCTGGAAAATAAGAGATTAGAGAGAGCCTAGACTTAAGTGCCTGGGTTCAAAATCTAGCCTGACTGCTGTTACTTGCTAACTGTATTACCTTAAGCAATTATTTTATTCTCCCTCTGTCCTCAGTTTCCTAATGTAAAGTTGAGATAACAATACTTCATAAGGGTTTCAGAGATTGAAAAAATCATGTAAAGTACATAATTCATTCTCTGTGAATTAATAAATAGTCACTATGATACTGTTATTTTTCATGACTTTGAATATCTCTGAGTCCATTTGTCTTACCGTGTACTCTCTCACCAAGTACCTCTCAAAAGAGGAAACTTCATTTAGTCCTTCAAGCTGGAAGTCATATTAGCCTTTCTTGAATCTGTAATCCCATGGTGAGGGCACTGAGGGTTTTACCTTCATTTAAAGAAAAAACTATCTTCAGAAATATTCAAGACTGGTCCTCAGTTAACTGGGTTAGGTGGACCCTTGCAAGATATGAGATGGACTGGCTCCTCAATGATCCCGATCCCATCAATATGCTAACATCATTTAAGTCCCTTCATTAATTTTTTTTGGAAATAAGAAAAGTTGTGATATTTGGGTCCTTCAGTACAAAGAGAGTGAGCACATTCTGTGCTGCTACTAAGTGATAGTAAGAATAAAGTTATGTGTATCTTATTTCTGTTAAAAAAAATTTCTGTTAGGCTGTTTGATTAGGCAATCACCTGATTTTGCCCTGGAAAAGATAGCTGGAACCTGGGGATGTTGAAGTAGGGATTCCTGGGTTGGTGGGCTTTTAAGTTTTCTGCATATGAAATTATAAGAAGGAATTGGAAAATTAGATTTAGAAGAAATCATTTATACTCAGACACCGGGGAAGCTGGAAATCAGATAAGTTTTCTGATCCTCTAAGCTCTCTAAGGGCGCTATGAAGGTCCTAGGTTCTCAAGAACAAGGTTACTCTCTAACAACTATATATAGCTTTACTTCTGTTTGTCTGGCCTCACCAATATAAGTGAGAGTAAGATGTAGTTATAGTGAAGAAATTCTGACTTCACCAATACTTTAAGAAAGCTTCCTTCTAGAGATCTATCTGAATGGTTTGTCTTGAAACCATAAAGAAAATAGCAAGAAAATAAAATTTCTAACTGAAGCAGAAAAAAAAATTGTGCATGGAAAATAAGGACTTACTGAATATAAAATTTTTTAATGCAATAAAGTTATCCAAATACCTGAAGGATTCAAGAAACTGTACATCCTATAGTAGAATTCAGGAGGTATTTTGAGATGCCCTCCAGAGTAGCCAAAGACATTAATATCTTATTTATTTTTTATTTTTTAAATTACTTTTTCATTACAAGTATATTAGTTTCAGGTATACAGTAGCCACCAACATTTACGGCTATACCACCCTGAACGTGCCTGATCTCAATATCTTTGTATGACTGCCATCTCTCTCTGTCTTCCCCTACTTCTGCTCCTGGATTTACAGAACTATCCTTAACCTTAATTTTTTGTCCATCTCATTTATCCAATACTCACCCCAGCCTCAGTGGTTAGCAGTACTAGGAAAAACACTGATTCAGCATAAGTAGCATAGCTCCTAGATCTGAGATTTGGTACTATTTATCTCCACTCTCTGAAGAATTTTTGGTCCAGAGAGGCAGTGGTTGGCTCAGAGTACCAATGATCTCAGCTGCTAAAAGTGGAGGCAAATTTGCGAATAAGACCTCTGGGGAGACACATCAGTCACATCAGAGTTTTCTCTTAAAGGTTGGGCATTTTTTTAAGGCCGGAGAAGGGGTCATGAGTGTGAATAGGGCTTTAAGGCCAGAGTGAAAACCTGAGAGAAAAGTTCCACAC